TCTTACCCATAAATGTTTTAAAAAGTGCAAGTGAGTCCAAATAATTATTAAAAGGCCTAATAGGGACGAAAAAGCAAAAAAAATTAAACGTAGGGACATTTTCTATAAGAAGTGTCAAATGTAGGGATTTGTTTGCTATTAGGCCTTATTAAAATATATAAAAAAACTCTCTCTCACTCTCTCTCTCTCTCTTTCTCTCCAAACGGGTCAACCACCTTAGAAGCCAAAAAAACTCCTGTAAACCACCACCAAAACTGTTGGAATACCATACCACCAAAAAATCCTCACTTCCCTCTACACATATCATCTAACATTCAACCTTGAAACCTTCATGCCAACGGATTTTTTTGGAATTGCAAGTACCTAACTCGCGAATGAAAATACTGGCGGTATCACCTGTTCTGGAGAGACTCATGCCATTTCCAACACACCAATCAACTATACTCATCACGGCGCCTCTCTTCATGGTCTTAAAATATCAACAGATGGTTCAACGGTATAAAGGTCTGACGGTTTGGGCAATGGTTGGTCGGATTTTTTTCACTTCTAACGTAGCAATCTCATTTGGAGAAGAAGAGGAGGGAGGGAGAGAGAGAGAGAGAGAGAGAGACTTTTTTTGTGGTTATTTTTAATATTTTAACAAGGTCTAGTAGCACAAAATGTCCCTACGTTTCAATTTTTTTTGTTTGCGTTTTCATCCTTATTTTCACGTTTCATCGCAGAAAACGTCATTTTCATCAATTTGAAATGTAGGGATGTTTTGCACACTTTAGGCCAAACATAGGGATGTTTTGTGCTATTAAGGCCTTTTAATAATTATTTTGACTCACTTGCATTTTTTAAAACATTTAAGAGTAAGATGGTAATATATTCTTTATTTTTTTGGTTTTATTTAAATGGGAAAGTATTTTAGTCATTTTACATTAAAAAATAGTAAAAATGACGTTTTTTGCAATGAAACGTTGAAATAAGGACGAAAATATCAAAAAATAAAAGGTAGGGACCTTTTGTGCTAATTACCTTTTGTTAAATCATTTAGTTTTTTTTATTAGTATTAGTATAAAATGATAGTTACAATTTGGTTCGCTTAATTTTTTGAGATTATATTTTATTCCATTATCTCTTGTTTATTGTTTTAACATTTGAATTTTTTTAGGATGGAATACCATCTAGATGTGGAGTTGAGAAGGATAATATTTAAAATTAGGACTCTCGATTTTAATCATTATCATGATTTTTTCATTTTTGAAAAAAAATTTCATCTCAAACATTAGACTAATGAGTGGATATAATATACATTGATCAAAATTTAATTATTATTAATTAAATTGTTAATATTTTTCTATAATTATATATAAGATATATTCAATCCTTTTATCATCTATTAATGGAATAAAATGGCATCGTTTTGCCATTCAACGTAGGGAAACAATATGATTTTGTAATGTAAATTCAACAAAAAAAGGACAAATAATTTTTTGATTAGGAAATCCTTAAAATAGAGAAGAAAAAAGAAGAAGTCTTGGTTGTGCAAGGAAGTAGAGTAAAGAGCGTGAATAGTTGTGTGAAAAAATAGAAAAGATAGAGAGAATAAACAAATATGAAAATGACTGCTGCGTATGAAAAGAAAGAGAAATGAAAATGATGATTACGTGTGACAGTCAATAAAATAATATTACCTTTGAAAAAAAGAACAAAAAATGGCAAACATTCACTGAGCATGACTCTATAAAAACACAGTCACAACAAGTGCTTCTTTTTATTTTAGTTAGGAAATAATAATTTGTCATTAATATATTTATCGATCATTTATTTTTTGAAGGTCTAGATATTAATAATACTTAGCTTTAAATATTTCTTTATTCTTTAATTTTTCATCAACAATCCTCCATCTTCAATGTGAAATTTTTCCATTGTTGTGCTAGGTTTTAACGAATTTTATTTTAAATGAAACTTCAAAGTCAAAACTTATATAAAAATTTTAAAATAAAAATATGTACAAGTCTAAAAAAAACTTTCATTAATTTCACACAAATTTATAAAAATCCACGAATTTTATAAAAGACCATAACATTTAAAAAAAAAAAAATAATAATAATAATCTATAGAAATTTTAAGAGCCTCAATTCAATAGATCCCTCTAGGAGGATATGTTAAACAAGCACTGGATATAAATACAAGTTACCTTGAAATGCATAGAGATCTTGTTCCCAAAACTCTAAAACCGGAATAAGATCAAAACACCACGATATCACAGTAAATGAGAGAACAAAGGTCCAAGTCACAGATAACATTGAATTTTTCAAAACATCATCCACAAATTTGGAGGTTCTCCTCTTGCGACAAAAATTCATTAAAATGTAAACCTCTGGATAATAAAACAATATGCCTTTCAAGATCCTACTACCAAATCTTAATCTGGAACTTGGATCTGTCAACTCTTATGCCGCAGCCTCTTGCTTAAGCTTTGCAAGCTCCTGCCTCACAACGCCAGCTTTCTGCAGCATAAAAATAGCATCGCTAAGAGTTGAACAGCACCACCAGCAGTCAAACGTTAAAAGAGAAAGCAAGTATAGGGAGGCTCAAGCACATTATATACCATAATATACAGGGACACAATTACAACAATTCTTTGATCACCGTTGAGATTAGACTGACTCTAGATTATGACAAAATTAGTATGGATTGGCATTTTGCAGCATCTAAAGTATAGTACTTTTCTCTTTGGGTTCTTTATATGCGTGTGTTGTTCAATGCTACTTAAGTGATATTCACTGTTATTCGTTCTACCCATTTCTTTCCTAGGGTAATATCTCATCTATTCCAGGGATGCACACATGCACTCACAAAAATGAAATATAAAAAGTTATCTTCTCAAGACATTTCCGACCTTGATTTTTGCCAACATTAGCTTGAATCTATCGAAATCATTTAAAAAGGCTCTTCTCTTCTGCACAATCAGCTTCCTTCCCCAGGAACTGTTTTCCCACTTGTTCTTAACATCTGCAGAAGTGTCATAATATTTCAATTTCGCAGAACAATATAGTCAACGAAGTGTAGGGTTTTCTAGATTTAACACCAACCAGCAGCTTCCATAGCAGCAATAAGAGTCTTTTTCTTCGGAACCCTTTTGATTTCAATCTTTATGTCGGTAAGAGAAAGCCTCTTCAAGTTCATTTGGCTCCTCACCATGTCAGGGGCATCCACGAGAGCCTAAAATTAAGCAAATGATTTAAAATGCATACAGTAAGGCAAGATTCAATTCATTTTACAAGCACATAAAAAAAAGTGACAGACTATGAATCAGTTATAACTTTGATCATGTATCAGCAAAAACCGCTATCAGAAATTATAAACAAAATGAAGCTAAAAAGATCATGAATTTCAATTCTTCGACCAAATTAATAAAAAGAATTCACCCATACACATCAAATGGCGATAAGACCCAAAAAATGGAACTTTTCTAAAGACTGCATAAGAGAAACTGCCTAAGATCAATGTGCACACCAAGCATGAACAAGCTAGTATCATAATGGCCACAAGTCGTCGATGAGTGACCATAACAAAAGGCTAGCACTTTCATATCTACTTCTGTCTACCTATTAATCAGCAACCCGACTGTGCATTAATTATGTAATAGAAAAGATTCAGTCACAGCACTGTGAAACCAAAGGGGAAAGGGACTTGAACAATCCCCTGG